CCCGCGGGGCTCCGGGCTGGCCCGGTGGGGCTGGGCCGGCACGTGCGGTCGGCGCTGCGCGGCGCGGTCCGGGCGGACAGCGGGAGCTGCCTTGCTACGGATGTGGGAGCAGATGGAGAGCGCCTAGGGTTGGCTACGTCCTCCTGTGTCTGTAGGAATAAATTTGAAAACTGTTTGCATATCATGTGGATGAAACCGTGCGGGTCTTGTTAAGAGACCTGTTTTCAAATCACTTCAGATAGTTTTTGGTCTAGCTTCTGCAGGCTGATGTCAGCCTGGGGCTTTGGCATGTAGTGGATGGAGGAATGGATGTTGAAATTCTTGGTTATAGAAGCACATCATGCCTTTTGTCTGTAGTTTGTTGTTCTGAACCCAACTAAATGGAACATATGTATTCTTGTCATGCTAATTATTGAAAAAATTGAAATGCATTGGTGTCTCTGAAATACAGAAGAATATTCCTTGCCTCATAAACCTTATCTATGAATGTTGCAATATTTCTTTTATGTCTAACTTTGATAGTTAGATATTATTTCTGTTGTTGACCATTCATGCCATGCCTGGTAGGTGTCCGTCATGTCTGAGTGGGACAGGAAGCTGCTGTAAAGGCAGAACTACACACACTTGCTTGTTTGTTTTCTGTATGTTGTCCATCCTGCATGAAGTAGCACGAATTTTTAGAAAAATAAGTACAAAACATTTTCAAGCCAAGCTATTTTATTAGTTTTTCCTGTTTATTCGCCTTATTTTAGTGAAACAAAGACATCCAGAAGTTCAGGTGCATAGTAAGTACAAAGTTTGCCCTTTATTAAAATGCCATCTGATGCAGGGCAGACATCAGGCATCATGTCTGTAATTTGATTGAAATACTTAGGTAGATACTAACCCATTTTTAACTTGTCATTTTGATTATTTTATAAACTAGGATCATTTACTCATTCAAGGAGTACCTATTAGATGAGTTTTGGGTGTGTCAAAAGAATACTGCTTTTCTAGCAAAAGATAGCTTGCTTTGACACCAGTAGGAATTGTGTATAGTTATAGTCTAGAAGACAGACTTTTTTAAGGGGGAGGTTCCCTAGTGGTAGAACAAAAATAAAAACTGTAGTAGAGGCACAGTTGTAACACCAATTGACCTGCAGTGATTTTTACCTTTATCAAAGCAACATGGGCTTTAATGAGATTTTCATGTCAGTCTATGTAAAAGAAGCTGTCTTTGAGAATATTTTCTTTTCATTTGATGGGTAATTTTATTAAACATTAGGTTTTATAGAAGTTGCTATAAGGCAAAAGAAGAGAAAAAGGAAGGGCTATGCGTAATGTAAATATCACCAAAATTAGTTACCTAAGCAGTATTTTTCTCAGGTTTGTAGCTGATCACATTTGTTGGAAGAGCTATGGCTTTATTTGCTGATACAGAGATAAAAGAATTACTGTATTTGGATTTGTGTCCATTTTGCTTTGTTTAGTAAGCCTTGAAGAAAAGGGTGTGAGGATGAGTAGCATTTACAATTCATAAAGCACCTTGAAAAAAGTGAGTGAAACCAATAAATAATGCATGTTGGCTTGGACCTTGTGTTGATTGACAGAGTGAGGGGGAGTTACAAACACATATTTGGAGTATATTTAGCTATGAAACTTATAATACATTGCTCTTCTCTCTGTGATGTATATGTAGTTCTTTTGAGTTTGGGAATTTGTCAAATACCAATGAAACTAGCATGGGGAATTAACCATGAAAGTTGTGGGGGAGAGGTAAGAATAAATATACCAGAGCACGTGTTTCAGGTGAGGAGTGCACAGTTTGAAAAGAATCGAGTTGTAAAATAAATGTCACCATAATCCTGTTTCCTGGTATTTACAGGAATGTTATGATTTTAAACAAGAGATAAAACTGCTGAAAGGCCAGAGCTAGACCCAGCAACAAACTAATGGAGGTGTGCAGCAAAATGGGTTGAGAGCAGAGCTGCCTTATTCCACCGTAAGTATGCAATTGTATTTAGAGTTACAGGTATTTCATGTTTTCACCTATATTTGATAACCAGAGATTACAGAAGTGTCTGTCAGTTCTCTTCTGTTTAGAGAACTTGAGTTGTGATAGTATTTTACTATAATTTACAGGTACATGTTTCTTTTCCTGTAACTGAAGATTTTTTCCTTTTGGGAAGATTCCCTTAAAATAAAACTTCCCTAAACATATATCTTGGTCTTCTAAGGTATTCAAGTTTGCAGATTTGCTTGAAGGGTAATGACTTTTGAAGGAGGACTTCTGCTGGAGAGAGCACTGAAGCTCTGTCTTGATATGGAACCTTGATGTAAAGGTTTCCAGACACAGATAAAATTCCAATCTATGCAAAGTTCTTCAAATGGTTTCTGATGATTAGAAACCTGTACTGTATTTCTTGTCTTAATTTAGGTAACCAGATGGAGATCTGTCTACTGTCTTTACTTAGTAGAATTCACTTTATTGTACTTTTTTGGCTTATACAAATAATTTTGATCATAATATTACTTTACTTCCTAGTGCAGTAAGTAATGGTGCAGATAGAAGAATGGAGAGAAGAAAACATTTAAGAGTAAATTTGTAAATATAATAAATGGTCATTAGAGTGAGCTCAGTAATCAGTGGATATAGTAACGACATGGGGCGTAATCAGAAGAATAGCATTGTACATTCATCTAGCATTGTCAGTTTCCTACTCTTTCATGGTTTTAGCAGCTGAGGATTGTGTGAGATTTGAAATAGTTTTTGACAGCCTTTTGTTATGAAATTTTGCATACAGCTCTTAAAGTAGAAAACTGAGACATTGCATTCATTATAATTTTGAAAAGTAAGACAACCTTATTTTTATTCCACTTGCAGAATGTTAGCTTACCTCTTTGGTGTAGTAGCGACTGCCGCACATGTCTTTGTATCCAGCTTGCCTTATGACAGTTACTTTGAAAAGCTGGAATTTTAATTGTTGTAGGGCAGCTTAGTTACAACAAAGGGACCAATGGCAGTCTAGTGTAACATGTGACAAATCAAGTAAAGCATGTAATAAAAGCATGACCTGTGCATTAGGTGTTGTTTTTAATGTACTGTTAGATATAATTCAAATCACTTGTGTATTCATAAAACCCAAGAGTTTAGGACTTGGATTCTGAAGTTGTTTCTTGAACTCGTCACAGCAGCTGCTTCTCTGCTCACAGTCGAACTCGTTTGAGTACATGCACTGGAGGGGTGGAGGTAGGAGAGCTGAGAGAATTTTAGGAAGGGAAGTTAACTTCGAATGTACTTTTTCCTGAATTACACTTGATCCATTGGCAGCTCTTGGGAAATGATGCAAGATTCAAGTTTTTTCAGCCTATTTACTCAGGGACAATGCATGTTATTGAGGAATAGTTATTTACTTGAGTGATCTCAGTTTATGGTCAGCTGAATCAATCCACAGCCCCATTTTATTTCTGTTGCATTTTAATTATTCATCATTAAATATAGTGAGAAGTTTCTGAGAAGAGGATGTGCATGAAACTGCTAAATTGTTCATAGTGTATTTTGTCTATAGGTGGTACTGTTGCCTAAAGCACAGTGAAATATATTGGGGACTTCCTGGTGAAATGGATACTGAAAATACACAAGTGTTTGCTCTGGAAGAGCTTTAAAAAGCCATTACATTTCTATGACTAATCTTCTGTAGTGTAATTGCTTTGTTCTTAATGAACTGTTGGTAGGCAGTTATTTAAATCCAGGCTTTCAAATGCTCTAGAATTTTTCATGTTGTCCAAATATCCACCAAGGTCTATTGTTTAAGTACTTCAGAAGGACTTTTTGAAATTAAGAGATTTTTCATATAAAGCAGTATGACCATTAACACAGCTCAACTGTCTGGTCTAATATCTGTTTGTATATGAAGTGGCTGTCATAAAAGGGCTCAGATAATTATTTTCTGAAGGAAGTGGGGTTTACATGGGTATTTTCTATAATTACTCTAGGAGATATGGTCCTTTTCCCCTCCACTTTGTAGGAATCATACGTGAGGGGATGAGAAATGGAGTTTGAGAGGTGATACTTACTGAATGGGGCACAAATGAAGACACAACATGTGTGTCAAATGAAATGGTGTTTGTACTTTTGGGAAAGGATGCTGTCAGGTGGTGTTTAAATGATCTTGCATCAGTGTTGCTCAGTGCTTTTGAGGTTTGTGTTTCCCTTCTAAATTTATTTTTTAAAAACGGCAAACTCTACTGGTTACTTCTGTTGGTTCTACCAAGTTTATCAGTGCCCAGGTAGGGCCCTAGTGCACTTTGATTGTTCTCACTGAACCAGTTGTCCAGCTAATTTAAGCTTAAGAAAGAACGTTTATCTTTCGGTAGAATGCTGAAGTATATTCTCTTAAAAGCATGTTGCAGCTCTCAGTTCCTGATGCATGGTATTAGGAAAACCATAATCAACTAATGAAAGTAGTAAGTAAATGGTTTTTGAAATCAGCTAAGCGGACTGTTGACTTGCGGAGTCTGGAATGGCTGAATTAGGACTGGTGAGAAGCATGTATAGCTCACTATTTTTCCCTTCAGTGAAAAAAATCAATAAGAGCAATGGTCATCAGTGGTTGCTGACATGGTTATCTTTGTATTTGATGAAAGCAATGTGAGCAGTCAGTAACTTCCTCAGATTGCTCTGCTAGCATTCAGAAATGAGAGCACGTGGACTTTGTTGGCCAGAAGTGGTTTTCTGTGCTTAAGAGTCTCAGTGACTTTCTTGTGAGTTGGGTAACTAGTACTGAGACAGAACTTATGGGCACTTTGACTGCATTACATGCATATTATTAACAGCAATATAAAATTTGTATTTTGCTTTCAGAGAATGTTGCTTCTGTGGCATAAATAACAAGAATAGACAAATGCTGGTAAAATAATGCCTCTAAGGTTTGCTTCTGTGCTTGGTTTTGATGGTGGTATTTTTGGTTTTTTTTTTCCAGTTGTTTTTGCACTGTCTTCAGTTTTGCTTCAGAGAGCGCTCCATATCTAAATGGGTTTGTCAAATTGGCAAAGAAGAACAGACAACCTCTGGTGTCTGTTGCATCCTGATTTATCCACTTTGCTTCTGGCAGCCTATGAAGGAGATCTACTGCAGTGTGCCTGTGAACCTCCCGTGCAAGCAGATAAGGTATTTCCTTAGTTTTGATTTTTAGTGCTGTTTGTGTAATACATCATTTTAATGATTAACCTGGGCAAATTGAAAGAAATTGTATGAATCAAAAGCTGTGAAAAGAAGTTGTATGTCATTTAAGTGACTTCGTACGTTTTATTGCCAACATTTTGGGCCTTTGATAATTTCTGGGATTTGAGAGATTTCTTTTTATTCTGGTTGGTGTGAAATATGGCAAGTACAGGGGAATATTATTTAATAATAATATTAATATTATTATTAATTAGATGTATCAACATCTTTATCTATGTTGTCTGACAGCCTCTTCATACCATGGGCATAGTATTAGCTCCTGTCTGACTTTGTATGCAGAGTGATGCTTTCTGCAGGTGGGGAAGCACTTCAAATGATCAAGTGGACTTGACTTAAAAGGATAATTGCTTCCTATGACTTTCACGAAGGTAGAAAAACAAGTGGGTGTGTAGAGAAGCATTTTTTCATAGATGTGAATCTTGGAGCAATCTTTGCACATAGGAGAAAGCAGTGCATTTTTAATGCTTGTGTTATATTTGGAACATTTGGGGGAAGGGCTAAGGCAAGGGGAATCTATTTTGATCCTGTCTAAAATGAAAGTTTCTAGCCTTGCAAGATTTATGTACATGCTGAATGTTGAAAGGTGAAAGTATATTAGTGCTTTTGGGTTTAGCTATTAAACATTTTTGTCTCACTTTGATATAATGAACATTAAAACTTGGTGTAAAACTGAACTTGGGCATGATACAAGTTCACATACGAGATTTTTCTTTCCCCTTTCACATTGTTATTGATTCCTCATGCCCTGGAGAACCTATTCAGAAAGGCAGGGATGGAGGACACAAGAATATTTTTGTGGCCTTAATGTAAATGCCACATGTTAAAGAAATTACATCTACAGAATTACTTTCCACTTCAGGATTGTAAGGACTGTTAAGAAGAGCAACTCCAGACCTAGAAATACTTAGCAGCTTGTTAGTGCTCAAAATGAGTTAACCTTATCAGGAGAAAATGTAAAAGGAATTGACTCATGCCTTGTTTAGCAGAGAAGATTTTGGCATTATTTGAAGCAAAATTAGTGACTTGTTTCATGCGAGATCCTGGGAAGAACTGTTTGTCATTGTAGGAATGAGAAGTGAAGACTTCATCTTTCTAAAGAGAGTAAAATAAGTTATTTTTATTCTTAGCTGTTTTGTTTTTTCAGAATCTTTCTGTTGGTGCACTCAGTGTTGTGGGAGGGGACACAAGGATGCAGAGGGAGAGTGGCAGTATCCCTTGCTGCACATATGAACAACTACAGATTTTGCTGAAAGAGTCCATTTACAGGAATCAGTGGCAGTGCCTGCCATGGGCTCATCCATGTGTGCTGTGGGGAATGATGACACAACCATGCTGTTTGCTCAGTTAAAGAGAATCAGAGCTTGAGCTGAGTTGCTGGTTCTGTAAGCAGTTTGTAGTAGCCTGCAGTTTCAGAGACTTTGTCCTGTCTGGGAGGGACTTTTATATAAAACTTAATTCAACATGAATGACAAATAGTACACTTTTTTCCCCCCTGCATTTCTTGAGTTGAGTGGAGATAAGGGTAAGGACTTGGCATGGCTTTAGCAATATTCAATTGTACTCCTTCATAGGTGGTACCTGGAAAAGAGCATCTATCTCCTAAGATAATCTTGTTTCCTAAGTCCTTTGCTCTGAGTAGGAAAAATGAAATATCTTGTATTGTATTGCTGGGTTATTTTCTTTGTGCATTTTGGATTTTTTAATAAATTTGACTTATTCCACAAATAATTTGCCTTGCAGGAATTTCTGTTTTCTGTTTTCAACCAGTGCTGGCTGAGCTGAAACTTCCCACATCTTGTGGAGAGCATGTATAAAAGGAATGACCTCATGGCCAGTGTGATGGTCACCTCTGCCACTCCAGAGGTACAGTTCATTGGGTTTTATTAGCTCCTGTATCAAAATGGAAATTTTGGCTTGGTTCAGCTTTCACAGAAGCCCTTTCACTACTAATTAAACACCACACCATTTGTAAGAAAAGGAACTAACATGTCAAGAGAGTAATTGTAGAACACTCCATGGTTTTTGGTGTTCACAGCCATATTTTTTTATTGTTGTTGTTAATGACTACTAATTTTGTTTACTTTTAAATAACACTTTTGACCTGCTGCTCTGTAACTTAGAGCAGCCATGTATTGTTGGTGAGTTCAGAGCAGTGTCATATACCATGAAAATGGAGTCAGTCATTTTGAGATGAAATTATTCATTCTGCAGATAAGCCTACTATTTTTTCTTTGTAGGGTAGTAGCAGCTCAGATTCTCTGGAAGGGCGAAGTTCGGATTATGCCAATAAAAGCTATGATGCAGTTGTATTTGATGTGTTGAAAGTAACTCCTGAGGAGTTTGCTGTAAGTATAAATGTTGTTTTTGCATTTAAGCTTGTATAATACTCAGGGTTGCAGAGTACTAAAAAATACATGAAATATTTTTTCTTTAAAAAACTTCAATAAAATAATCCTGTCTTGGGATTTAATAATTTAGTACTGACTTGACACAGCATATTTGTTTTACTGTATAAAGTTATTTGCATTTTTTTAAGTCTTTAAGTTACCCTAGCATAGGTTAGTTCTGGTTAGTGAGGAATATGTGTGTGGTTTGTAGTTAATGTAGGGCAGATAGAAATACGTCATTGTTAGCTCTTCATATTACATGATGCGAAATTCTGTCTTCGTTTCAGAGCCAGATAACATTGATGGATATGCCAGTATTTAAAGCTATACAGCCTGAGGTAGGTTTTCTTAAACCATCTGCTTACATCTTTGGAATTCAGTGCCTGAGGAAATGTGACGATTCAAAGAATGCTTTTTTTGATCAAAAATGCTCACCTTCTTGCACTGCATTAATGTTTTTCTAGGTATATTCCCTGTTAGTACTGTGAATCTGTAATCCAGCATGAGTTACTTTGGTTGATCATCTGTTGCCAAAGGGGATAACTGTGCTTTTCTGGAAGTCTTCTTGTCTTGCTTTGAGTGGAGTGTTTCTTCAGGATAACTTCATCAAGTGTAAAAATTCTCTATTCTCCATTCTGCTGCTGTTTTTCAAATATCTGATTCCAGACTTTTGACTCCTGCCTCTGCTCGTAATCTCAATTTTAGACTGCATCAGCTGCTTTATAAGCTTCTTAATTCGTACAATCATTTTTAAGATTCAGAATAATAAATGCTGGGATTAAATCAGCCCCAACCCTTAAAAGTTAGTGTATTATCGTCTTTTAAGATTTTAACCTTTTAAGAAAGACGCAGAAGGGAACTCGAGGCCTCTTGAAGAAAAGCAGTCAAAGTTAACATAGACGTTTGAAAATCAGTAATAAGAACTTGAGAAATGAAGAATAAAAGTAGTTGTCAGAATATGACAAATTTGCATAAAAGTATGATAAATTTATTTACTGCAAAAGGTACAAGAATCACATGACTCCTGCTTCAGGTGTTTTTGAATATAAGAGCATGTATCCATTGTGGTTTGTTGTCTTCTTGTCCTAAGGCTGGAATATCATGGTTATATAAAGGGCAGCCCATGCTCCCCCATAATGTCAGCAGAACTGAATTTCTGGCAACATCAGTAGGGGCAGTCAAGTTTAGAAGATTTTTCGTGGAAGCTCTAGCCAGCTAATTAGGTCACTAACAAAACAAGTCATCATTTATTGCAATAGTTCAGAGAGATTAGCAGACTTCTATTTTGAGAAAATATAGGAAGGAAGTAAAAAATTTGTCTGTTGTCTGTCCTTCCTGTCAGATAATTACTTTTTTTCCCCCAAGAACACCAAGACAGTTTTGTAGCTGAAAACACTTTCATACTTCTGAAATTACATATGTGCTCCAGGCAGTTGGGGAGACTTTTCTTTCCTGTGGGGAAGAAAATGGCAAACAAACAATGCAATAAAAAAATAGCAATGCCCATAGAAAAATCTGCTCGCAAAAAATTTTCAATATGTACAAATTGATACATAGATACTTTTCCATGAGGAAGTTTTGTTTAGACAAATATCAGAACAAAACGGATGGAGTTTTTTATTCTAACTACCTTTGCCAAAAGTAGAGGTAGTGTCATACTCTGAGGAGATGAATGAACTAAAAAATAAAATACAAAACTATAGATGTTCATTTTTAAAGCAAATTTTGCATTTACTTTAGTTGCTATGAAACCTGTGCCATAGAATTTTATAGCAAAAAAATATGCCAAAACAATTGATTTGCTGTTCTTCTTCTCCTTTGTAATTGCTTCATTTTGCCTTTTGGAAATGAAATTTCCTGAAGTTGTACTCTGGCAAATAGATGTAACTCACTGAGGAGTGATCAGAAGGAAAACTCTTGTATTTTCAGCTTCTGCTAGAATATAGATCTTTGAATATGTAGCAGTTACCATGAAGTATTAGTTGTTAATTGTGCTTTCTGATTTTCATTTTATGGGCATCATCAATATAGTTTGTTTGCCAAAAATAAGCAACTGTTTCTATCCTGAAATTCTGACAACTGTAGGACGAGGTTTTAAAGCAAGAAATAGTTTGTGTATTTGTCATGAAACTGCCCCTTGCTATTAGGTAAGTTATTAGACTAAGAAAGTTAACATTTTCTAGTTGAAATTTAAGGTTTTATTATTTTAACATGACCTTATGCGTGGATGGAAATACCTAAGATTTTGGAGTTTTGATTGCTAAATCTTATCTCAAACACACAAACATCCTTTAAGTGTCATATTTGCTGAGGCTTTTTCCTGCTTTTCAACAGCTATTACTAAAAAACACATCTGCATTTTACTTTGCAGAGTTTGGAAAGAGGATGTCTAGTTAACAATTCTTTGTTCTCCAGCAGAAATAATTATGCTTACATGTTAGATTTCTATGTGACTTTATTTAGATTTTTTCCCAAGTCCTGAAATTGCAATCTCCACAAATTTCAGGGTTTTGCACACTTGATGGGAATGTCTTCTGTGAGTGTGCACATTGAGGAAACTCAGCATCCCTCCATACCAAAAAAACAAGAGATGAAGTGTAATTATTGAGCAGAGTATATTGTAGCAATATAAAAAAATCAGCAGGGGCATTTTGAATCACTCTCTTTTATCAACCTTCCTATTCAGTCTGAGTTTAAACCTAGCCAAATGATTTTGCCACACACAGGATTTTACATTGTTACTCACTAGCCCTCTTGCAACCGCTTGATATCCTTAGGTTACTGATCTCTTCCACTTTTCTGACAAAGGTATGTTTTGCTGTCCTAAGTAGAGTGTCTGAGATTTTTTTTTCCACATAAACATATGATTTCTAGTATCATAAGACTAGACATGGACTGTTCATGTGGAGAATCTGTGTCCTTGATGCGTTTGACAGATGCAAATTGGCATTTTGATCTGCAGAAGTTTTAGGTGCTGGAGATGGGGATTCAAAATGTGTTTGGAGCTGGAAGTGCTTTTCCTGCTGCTCGCGCAGGCATGTACAGATCTCTAGAGAGTGTTCCATTTATCAGCATTGCAAAGTGCTTTTCAGAGGCAGAATTCTCTTTGGCTGGCTCTGCCTTTTCATATAAAGGTGTCTAAAATTAGTAGTGTACATTTGGAAAGTTGAACAACATTTTGATTGAAATTGAGACTTGTGGTTCTAAAAACAAAAAAGTGATTTAGAATTAGTGTTAAGGAGAACTCGTATCAATTTTTTAAAGCAGTTTTTAAATGTGTTTCCTAGGAACTAGCCAGCTGTGGATGGAATAAGAAAGAAAAACACACCCTCGCTCCAAATATTGTTGCCTTTACTAGGAGGTTTAACCAGGTATATAATTTGATTACTGTCATGAACAGGTACTGTTTGATAGTTGTCTTTGAGTATAAAGTTAAACAGAACTACTCATGTGAATCAAAACCTATTTTTCCAAATGAGAATTAAGATTTTTAAATTGCAACTCCTGTTTTCAATTGCTTTGTTCTCATTTTCATGTTGTTCCTGTAGACCATTTGTTCCTAATTATTAGTTCCTGATTTGTTTTGCTGTGGTGCAACATTAGCAATTTTTTTTCTTCTTTTCTGAGTTTCACTTGCTCATTCGGTTATCTTGGTGTTGTCTCACTTCTCTACCTCTTGTGCTGGTAATGCTTCTGGTCAATTGCAGTGATACAGATGAGAATTCATGTGATCAGAAATCTTTTCTTTCCTTATCTTGTTTTCTTCCTGGACCATTGTGAGAGTTTGCAAATATTTAATCTACTAGACTAATAAAGTCAATTTTTTTTGTAATAAATTAAAGTTGTATGTGTTTACTTTATAGGTCAGTTTTTGGGTTGTACGAGAAATATTAACAGCACAGACCTTAAAAATAAGGGCAGAAATACTGAGCCACTTCGTGAAAATAGCTAAAGTAAGTGCAGATTTCTTACACTATCATTCAAAACCTTAATTCCTTTGTGCTTGTTTCTGCACTACTCCTGTGAGCCCTTCTTGGATTGCAGAGGGTAACAATTCTGTTTTAGCACATGTTATGTTGTACTACATGATTAAGATAAAGGAAAGGAACGAGAACTGTTCTTTTCTACTTGGAACCTACCCAGTTCAGTGGGACTCATTCTGTACCTCTATCTATCAAGTTTAAAAGTTGTTTGGGTTGTTGGTGGCTAATTGTGTGTTGACAACATCAAATGTGGTTTTTATCTCCCACCATTTTCTAACTTAACTTCTATGAAAATAAATTCCTTGCTTCTAAAATAGCTATTGTGAGACTTGTATTCCTGCTTGCAATATGTAGTTGTTGGTATAAAGCACTGCTGTTAAAGCTCAGTTATTTTATTCAGTTTGAGCACTGCATTTTACTCTTAACTTTAAAACAAACAAATTTAAAAATATTTATCTCTTTCATGACCTGCAGTCATTCTGTTTTATATGACCCTGAGTGACACAGCACTTGGATCAAAGTCCCAAGCGCGAATTTTGTATGTGTGAAATTATGTATGTATGTACGCGAGTAGGTAATTAAAATAATATTTTCCATGTAGTACAAAACAATTTTTGTATTGTGCATATTTCCAATCAACTTGCTTAGCAGTTTTGTACTTTTAGAAGAAAATTTATCTGGGTAAGTTACTGGCACAAAAAAATAGTCCAAGTAATAGGAGAATGTTTGACTTGGAGGTCCTAGGTTTTTCTTAGAAATAAGAGTTTTGGTGTTTGGGTTTTTTTTAGCCTGCACGATGGGGAACACTGCCCTCTTTTCTTCTCTTGTTTTACTTTTCCTGCTTTTCCCCCCATAAAGTCCAGATCTTCCTTAAATGCTTCTGAGCAGTGAGTAAATGGATCAGTCAAGGATGAATCCCACCTCTTATTAAGCTTTACAAAGAAGCTACATGACACAGTTCTCATTTTTCTATTTTACATTTTTATGCTTGTTGTAGCAAGCATTATCATCTTGACAGCTTTATTCCAAAGTATTGTCTGCCTGTGGTCAGTGTGTTTTCAGTAATTGTCAACACACAGAGTAAATTCAAAATACATTGAAGTGAGGTAAATTTTTCCTATAAAACAGATTACAAAGGTAAAAATTGTGTTAATTCTGAGAGGGTTGTCAGCATCTTTGTGTAATGTTTTTGCTTGATTAAATATTTGATTTCTAAAATTACATGACTTCAAGAACAATGCATCAAATACTTTTTTCCTGTTTTCTGTTCCTGAAGGAATAGCCTTAGTAAATAACAAACAAATCAAGTACTGTTTATATTCTTGAAACTGAAATGCCTATTATATTGATGGGGTATACTTGTAAAATTAGCAGCTTTTAAAGTGGTCTTAAGAATCTGGCACATGACAGCATTGGGATAATATTTTGTCTGCAGTCATAGATGAAAACTTTATATTTTATTAATGAAAAAATAATAGTTTATTTATGCAACTTCTATATTAATTAATCCTGCTTAACTTTCAAATGTGCTAAAAGCTATTCCCTTTTTTCAGAAGCTTCTAGAACTGAACAATCTTCATTCCCTTATGTCTGTGGTGTCAGCACTGCAAAGCGCACCTATCTTCAGGCTGACTAAAACTTGGGCTGTAAGTGTTGCCTTGACCCTTGTCCTTTCTGTCTTGTTTGAATTCTGAGGTTCTTTGGAATTTGTTACATTGTAAACTCTGGAGGAATATGCTTCTATGTTCTTATTTTTGTGGTACTGTGGTAGCAGAAGCAGTGGTCTGTTACATGTTCTGTGAAAAGTAGAGTTTTGGCTGCATTTGTTTTCCTGTAAATTTCCTTTTTCACTGTGTATTCTAGAAGCCACTGGTTGTATGCTCAAGAAGACTTCTGTTGATAAGTAATCTTAGAACACCCTTGTACAGAACGTGTATCAGTGTCTCCTTATCCAAAACATAGTGTATAATTTAATACATTATCTAAAAGGAAGGAGAAAGGCATTTTACAAACTTACAAGCATTAATTTTCTGATTATTGTGTGATGCATTTCAGTTTTTATTTGTTAGACATTGAAAGTATTGATAACTCTATTTTCAGAAACTCCATCTCTGGAAGGTGGAATTTCTTAGCCAAACTTAGAGTAAATTTAAATGTTTCTTTAAAGAGGTGTACACAATTACAGGTGATTTCTACTCTATGTAATATTTAACTATACAAAGGTTTGGGTCATTCTCATCAATTAAGTATTCCACACACCATGGATCACACTGACTGTTCAGACCTTATAAGTAAAGATGGCTATACTTAAGTCTTAGGTTTTTCAAGCTTTTAAAATGCTTGCAACTATGTTATGATTTAATTGCTCAGAATGAGGTTAAAATCTAATAAAAAAGTAAGTGCCTGATATTTTGAGCAGCTTGATGAAGTTGGAAATAAATAGGGAGAACTGCTCATGTGTGAAATGAAGTATGTGACTAATTTGACTTAGACCTAAAGAGGTGCCAGGCTCTTTGTAGGCACAGTAGTTCAAAAGTACAATACATTGCAGTGGGAGGGCCTCAAGCAATTCTCAGTGCTGCTAAAAAGAAAACATCAAAATTATTCTGATATATTCATTTCTATCCTTGCTATGTTATTTTTTTATCCACAACTAAACTTAAAAGCTAAGCAGTACAAGATCTGGAATTTTCCAGAGGAAAAAGGTGTATGAAAGAATGTGCTATGGAGCAGCTGTCTGTTGTCAAAAAGGACACATGCAAGAAGCCAGTGTACAGTGCCATAATTCTCCACTCACTCCCAGCTCAACTGGCTTTTAAGACCGTCTTAAAAATATTGCTGGGTTTCTTAAAACAGATGAAACAGAAAATGTGTTCTTTTAGCTACAGTTGTGTATTTTATGTTTACTTTTCAGCCTCCTGTGTCTAGGATTTTTGCATTCCGAAATGTTTTTTCTAGATTTCTGTAATAAGTCTAATAAGTAGAAAACATGGATTTAATATCACAATGATTTACTTTCCATATGCTTTTTTTTTTCTGAAAAGTCATACTTTTAATAAGGCACTGTTAAAATAGCACAATTTGCATTTATTTAGAGCATTTTCCATTGCTGTTTGTCCTTTTAAGTTTAGAGGATTTTTAGCAACTATGCTGAGTTGTGAGAATATTGGTGACTGTATTATAACATACTTTTTCTCTAAGAATATAATATTGCTGAGGTTACTCAAAACTGACTTAGCGATGTGAGAATCACTGACAAATTAGTCAGAAATAATGGTCATGTTTTTTCATAGCTTAAGACCTACACTAAATGGCCTTTTTTTTAAACAGGTAGCATGTTTTCAAACATTGTGCTGCTTTGGATGATGATGATTAAATTTAATCTTAACTAGACTATGCTCTCCTTTACTCAGGGCAATTCAAGAAGTTATTGACTGTTAGTTTTGTGTGGATTTGTCTTTGAAAATTTTATGATCTCCCTTTTCTCTGTAGCTTTTGAATCGGAAAGACAAGACCACCTTTGAGAAGTTAGACTATTTGCTGTCTAAGGAAGATAATTATAAAAGGACACGAGAGTACATCAGAAGCTTAAAAATGGTTCCTACAATTCCATATTTAGGTGAGTGTGAACAATTACCTTATTTATCTGTAGCTCACTGACAGACAAGCGCTAATGTATCTAGGTAAATGACTCACCTTTTAGGCAAAAAGGCTAAGAAATAGGATTATTTTAACAAAAGACTGTCAGCTTGAACATGGGTTTAAAGCCTATGATGAGTGTATACTATAAAGATGTATTTCCAGCCATATCTCCAGCTACAGAAGAGCAACTGTAATAGCTTTTCTAGGGAATGCCTCATTCTTGAGATCTGCACAATGGATACTGGAAGTTCTCTGTGTTCTTTCCTCAAGCCAAGCATGAAGTAGCCTTAATGCTACTAATTGTTAGAGTACTGCAGCCAGGCTTTAGGGCCAGTAGGTACATTTAATATTTCTAATCTGAAATAAAAATCTTTTCCAGAATTCAGTAGATAACCCCATGGAAGATAAAGGTTGAATACTCTTTGAAAAATGTGGGTGTTTCATATAACCTACAAAAAGTTGTTCCTCCTTGGCCCGTGTGGAAATTCTGTATTGTTTTCATCTGAAAATTGTTTTGCTTTTTTTGTGTTGTAATATTTCAACACTTCACACACATCAACAGTGGTTGCATATCAAAGTTTGTTTGAATCAGAGGCAGACTATTGTGTAGTAATCTGAACTACAACAAGATGAAATCTCAACATATCAAAATAATATTTGGTACTTTATTAAGGGTTACAATATTACAGGGGTAATCTAATATATTAAAAACCCTACTTTCAGTTATATACAGCACATGCTACATCACACATCATACTGCGGTAAAGATGTGATGAGGTAATAAGGGAAAAGTATGCAAACACACACACAAACACTCAAGTGTCATACAGGCTGACCAAAAAATATGTTGAACTTATAGAGGCTTTCACTCTGCCTCTTTGATGCATTCTTAAACTTGTATTTTTTGTAGTAGTTTGTTTGTAATGGGTGTGTTAACAATCTGTTATAGAAACCTATCTTAGAAGAATATTAGAATTATGCCAGTCTGTATTTCATAAGTGTGACTGACCTCTAAATATAAATGAGTAAATCTGTTTAATAATTTGACAGCAATAATTGTGAAATATGTTTAAAATAAGTTTTTGCTACTGATAAGTTCTCTATATAATTTTTTATCTAAAGGCTATTAAATAGCTTATAAATTGGTATCCATCATTTGCCTGCAAAGTTGGATAGACCCTTTAACTTATATCCAGCCATTTCTGATTATAGAGGCTACACAGCAGGTAATCACTGAAGTCAGGTACAAAATACTGTAACAGTTGTGTAGTATAACATGTTGGCTATAGAGCACATAATACCTATTATAAATCTGGATTAATTTCCATATGCAAGTAGCTGCTTCATTTTGGTAAAAAATAATTCATGTTTTTAAAATATTAATGGTGAGCTTTTATAGGAGCAGATTATTTAAATGCATTTACTGAAGGGAAAAGGCCAGATTTACCAGGACAGTAATGGTTTGAGTATCTGCTCTCAAAACAGAATTATATAGTGCTAACTTTATTCATGGTAGTTAACAAAGAGTACATAATCATCACACTAATGTACATACACCAGCTACATATTTCAAAGGATATGATTCCTGTGTCAAATGATTGCTTATAATAACAATATTAAAACTCTTGCTGTACAGTTTGTAATATTTCCTGTATTTGAGAATATTTATACATAACATACAAAAATACTTAAATGTGGTGGCAATATTTTTATCATCCAAACTTAATTTACAGGGAATAAAAACCAGGAAGTTTATCTACGGTTTTCATCTAAACTGCAAGTTCTAATAGGACCAAGAGGTGTTCTGAATGTTATTACAGTTCCTTTTCTTCAGCTCTTTTTCCTGGGATGATTCTTGAAAATATAATATACAAGCCCTCAGACCTTACCAATAAATGTACAGTATCTTACATTCCTCATTTCTGAAAAGATAATTTCAGGTAATAAAATCATAGCTTTATGTGAATTTTAGAACAACAAAGCAAACCAAGAGAAGAGTTATTTCAATGAAACGTGTTAGGGTTAGGTCTTATCATCATAACAACTTTCTTTAGTGAATACGATCCTCCCCGGAATTCAGCCCAGTAAACACCATCCTGATATCGACTGCGGTAGTGTCCTCCACGATACCAGACTCCATTGAGATTTGAGTGAGCACATGCATTGTACCACCATCCTCCCTTCTGGTAATGAGCACAGTTACCTGCAAAAGAAAGCTCCAGTTCAGGCTGAGAAGTAAATGAAAAATCTTAAAGCAAGCAACCAAAGTACAAAACTTAATTGGTTGGTTGGTTGTTCTGGGCTCTTTTTTTGGTAACTGTATGTTTAAGATGTAGATATCCTGTGGTACAAAGTGAACTTAGGCTTCTTCAGGAACCAGCTAAGTAGTTAGGTTCTACAGATCGAATCCTTTTTGGTTTTTTTGTTTTTCTTGCCTGAAAATCAGTGAGTGTTACTGTCTCAAATAACACTTCATAGCATATTTTGCAGACCCATGGATAGTGTAAAAACTTTTAATTTTGGTGTTAGTATATAAGGGTTGACACATCAGTTTGTATTTCATAAGGTGCTAATTGACAAATCCCTTTGTAAGTGGATTTTTTTTTTTTTTTAATGTATGACTATAAGTATTTTTCCTTTTTCAAAAGAAAGAGGTAAAAAAGGGGGGGATGGGGATGTAAAGCCAAAAATGGCAAGGCAGCTGAGAGGGACCTCCTACCTGTGTATACGTCATGGTCCCGGTCCAGCGTGGTGAACTGTTTGCCGTTGTGCCAAGTGAAAGAATCTCCCGCGTTGCCGTTGTAGCGTCCCAGTCTCAGCTTGTAGTACTCACTCTCTGGCTCCAGTCTGAAGCTGGCATACTCAGCAAATACTTTTCGACCTGACCAGTCTTCCATTGTTATGAGCAGTTTGTAATTGCCTTGATTTGTTAACCAATAAATGTTTTCTAATCCAAGCCAATATTCTCCATCTATATTACCAAATCCTTGCTGTAAAGGAAGCAAGAGAAGCATGTTAATATCCTGCATCTGTGTTAGTGGTAAATTTGAGTGTATTCTTAAGTAGAAAACTGCAGTGACTTATTTTATAGAGACTTCCTCTTCTGGAAGGGTAAACATGCAAGTTCTTGTTCAAGTAGGCTCTTGGCCGGACTCTAAAACCACCCTTTAAATTAACTTCATCAGTAAGTTATAGAGGGTGGAAAACACCATTAATCAGCTCTCTTGTCCTAACCTTGTATGTCTCCCAGTTCCTGAAAAAGTTGACAGAGCCGTCCAGCCGTCTCTGAATGACAGTCCAGCCACCAGGGTCATGCCGTTGGTCACACCAGACCTGCATAAGCTGGTTTGTGTTTTCTGGTTTTACAAGATAGATGGAGCTTGTGTCATGGCCGTCTTCTAATGCTTGTAGACAGTCTCTCCAGGGCCCTGTGTCAAAACAGAAAGGCTCTGCATCAAACTGCTGCTGAGCATCTCTTTAATGCAGGGCAGTATTTCAGTTGGTAGCTTTTTATACTAGTTTGGTTTCACTGAATAGCATATTTTTCTTCTTATTAAAGGATGAGTATCCACCAGGTGTTTTCAAACAGATCCATTTATTGTAACTTTATTTCTGGAACATTTCACAATGAGTTACTGGTAAAGGTAGATTTTGAAAACGAAGTTGTTTTAAGGCAGCCATACTGGTACTTTTACCAACAATTACATATTTCAAGAAACTAAATATTAATTGATTCCACAGATAAATAAGGATTTCCTTTAGAAAACAAAACAGTAAGTTTGACCTTGATTCTATCTTTGAGAAATTCAGCTTTTTAGGTCCCCAAAAATGTCACTGGCACGGGCATTAACAGTGGAAGCAACAACCTAAATTCCGGCTGTAGGTCTTACTGCTGCCATCTTAATAAATTACAACATAACATAGAAATTAAGAATTTTTTTAACATAAGGTGCTTGTGAGAGAAACTTTATATAAATAAGAGGGCTGTTAATATACTTTGAATTCACAGAAATTGCAGTTAACAGTCTTGTTTTCAGAAGGAGAATGCATTTTTTCCTTCAGTTCAAGAGAGTCCATAAAAAACTTACACTTTTTGAAAGTATGTTGTATTCTTGTTTTTTCAAGAAATTTTCTCCAGTGGTAAGATAGATTCATTAAAACAGAATCTGAGATATTCAGAAATAAATGATTTATAAATTCAGATATAAATTATTTATAATCTCTGCAGACATGCTCCCCCAGCTGCTTTGATTCCTCTGCAGCAGAGTGAAGTCAACAACAATCCTCAGGATTTGAGATTAGAGCCCCTGGATTGATTCTCCCTGCCCACTGAAGGAGTAAGGCTCCTAGTCAGAAGATCTGACAAGCCTTACTGAAGCATATACTGCTATCAAAGTAATTTCTGTTTTAAACTATTTCAGTCCTATGGTTTGTCATAATTCATTGTCAAACACTACTAATGGTACCCAGCAAATGCAAATAAATTAGTTTTATAGAAATAATCTCAGTTTTGGAGATTAAAACACTGAGGTTTTAGTATTTTTAACTATTTTAAGCAGCAAGTCAGTGTACAAAGAGGCAATCCAAGTCTTTGTTCTGTGGATGCTGTGTTCTTCTTGCCTCAGTCATAATCAGAGACTGTACCTGGAGCTGTGCTTATAAGCCCCTTCTCCATTTCTTTTGGGGCTAACTGTTTAGATTTCTGGCAGTTATGATATAGATGCCATGCTCTTGTTGCACCATTGCACGGCTCATTGAGAGGTGGGAAAAAATGTTAATGAGCACTAATAATTTAAATTGCTCTGGTTTATTTTATCACAATATGTATGTAGTGGCACTTACTAAAAATAAAAAAGAAAGTCATTATTGAAGAACTTCTAAAATAGTCAAACAGCTTTGACCTTGTCTTTGTAAAAAATATATATAGCAGTATGCAATGTAGTATTTACACTGGTCTAATCTTGCAGTTTCTTTTAT